TATGAAGAGGAGAAGAGGCGGAGAGAGGCAGCCGAGAGGGAATATGAAGAGGAGAAGAGGCGGAGAGAGGCAGCCGAGAGGGAATATGAAGAGAAGCAGCTGAGGAGAGCGCGGCAGCAGAAGAAGTGAAGAAAGAGCAGAAAGAGGCTAGAGCAGGGAGTTTAAAGAAAGAGGTTTAGTTAAAACCGCTACTGTTTCATGCGCAGTTGATGGTCTGTCCGATCCTTGCACTCCAATTTTTTTAAATCTTTGGGAGACCTTGATATGATTTGTTGTTTCTCATTCATTATTCTTTTGCAAAGCAATGTATGATAATTATTGTTCTATTATAATTTGTGATGTGAAATTGACAACATTGTTCTGATACCTTTTTCAAGTTTGCTGGTTTCTTTTTGATTTTATGTACTTTTGAAAAATATGTTCTGGCTAACATCAAATATTAATTTGTTTGGAATTTTTCTGGAAAGATACAACATTTTTTTCTTATATTGGTTACACCAATTATTTTTTAATATTAGTAATACGTTATATTTTGTTTGTTACCTTGGGTTTGGTGCTTCATCAGAACTTGATCCTGTTGATACTGTATCATCTGAACTAGATGATGGTTAGTTTTGATTTATATTATTGAATGGATAGTATTAAAATTAGGAGCATGTAATCTTGTCTTTATTAAAGTAAGTTTATAAATATTAAGTTGAGTAGAAAGGAACCAATACGTCACTCAATGTCACTTATACTGGTCAGCTATTGTGAGCCGCTGGCACTGGTATCTTTGATTTTGCTTTCAGAGTGGACCGATGGACTTAAGACATTACGGGCCAAAACTGAAAATTTCAGGGAAAATTAGTCCCATTATAAGGTGAATTTTAAGCCACAATCCGCTTATATTCTCATCGAGTGTAAGAAAAATAAAAATTAAAATGTACTCTTTTTACTATGTTTCTCCAAGTTAAAGTAACTTCCTCTTACCCAGTTTAACCTAACCATGTTCTTGCTAGTTTTAATCAGCATGAAAAAGTGGATTAAAAAACCTTTGGGTGGGGTCAAAGTGAGGTCTGGGGTAGATTTTAGGAGCTTGTGTAATTTTTTCGAATTTTTTGCTAAGTGAAAAACTACAATTTTTGCCAAATCTCACCCAGATTTTTTCCAGATTGTTAAGGTGTACTAGTGATAGTAAAAAAGAATTAAAAATTATTTTTTTTCGAAAACCTCAATTTGAAGTTCGTGGTGACTTGGGGCGAAAAGACCTAGCACTCAAACCTCCCGCGGCCAAATCCAATGTCATTTTAAACCTCTGAGACATTGGATTTAAACCGCATCTTTACCAACCTGCCGGTTGAATCAGTGTTTTATTGGTTGCATTATTCGTCATTCGGCTCCTGCTCCTACCCGTTCGCGGCACTCAGTGCACCGTGCACCGTCTGCACACAGCTGCTCCCCCTGGCCCTCCCCCTTTCCGGTACCTACCCTTCACCCCTCCCCTCCCCCGCCCGCCGGCTGACGGCGCGCTCGGTTGCGCGGCGCTGCGCTGCCTCTGCTGCCTCCTGCCCCTCCTCCCAGTCCAGTCGCTGCCGGGCCGGGGCGCGAGTCGGGTCGTTCTTCACAGGACGCGAGCGTGCGACGCCTGATCCTTCGCCACGACGCGATCGTCGCGCGCCTCGTCATGAGGCGCCACCGCAGCCGAAAAGTGACGCAGTGTGTGTGACAAGCGGGACAAGCGCGTGACAGTGTGTGTGACGTAAAGTGACGTTGTGTGTGTCGTTACTGTGCAGTGTGACGATAGCGTGTGACATGGGCGCGGGCCGACGTGGAGACGGCCGCCAGAGGATTACCATGAGAGCAGCAGCTACGCGCCGTGGATACGCTTGACCTCGGGTGGATATTGCCGCCCCCGCAGTGGATTCATCCCTCCAGCGGCTATCGCCGAGGGCTAACCTTCACCACCCCCACCACCACCAACGTCATGACGAACGACCGCTTCCACAAGTAAGCACTCATAGCTGCTATACCTGAACCAGAACTTACTTAATAAGCGTCTTCGCCTCACATCTGTACGGAATGGCACATAAAGCGTTTGAATAAGTTGTGAGGGAACAATATTTACGCTCCCTTCCCGCAGCGCAGTGACAGCGCAGGCCGCAGGGGCTTACCCCTCATTAGCCGCATCAAGTGCAACTCACACATTATTCAAATCTCGCGGCCGCACACACGCGAGCACGGGCCGGTTTTAATTTACCCCCCCCCCCCTCCTCCTCTCCTCGAAATAGTGCATCCCCGCGCCCCGCGTTAGGGCCCCAAGTGGGGCGCGCGCCGGCCTGCAGGAGGACAAGTAGAGTGTGATGCCGATCCCTATCGCGGCCGGCCTCTCGGCTGGAGTCTGCGCGGTCCGGCCCCTCACCTTTAGTTTCCTTTTCTTTAATTTTTATTTCTCCGCTCCAAGTGCTCCGCACTCTCTCTCTGCTTCTTCTTCCTGCCTATCGGGTCGCGCCGGCCGTCATCTTGCGACGACACGGCGGCGAAAAGACGCGACGACTTTCGAGGAGGTTCCGTACCGAAAGCACCATCGTGAGCACGGCACCTCCGAAACCTATGACGTCGACCAACACCGACGTGTTCTGTCATTCCCTACTTCCGGGCGACCCCGGTTATCGCCTCTTGACTCGTCCTCCCCGCTGTTATGAGACGGGAGCGGAGGGCCACCAGATCGTCGTCGTCGCCGGTCGCCGCGCGGTGACATTTCTTCGATTTCTCCTCTCGTCCTTCCCATCATTGCATTGGCGGTTCGATGACGCTGTTCTGTCGATCAGCGCGCTGCTCCCACGGCCCGTTTGGGACACTTTGGCGGGTCGGTAACGGCGCGGGGGGCGGAAGTGAAGGCCGGCCCCGCGCGCGCCGCGCGTCCGAAACGCAATACGAGATGAGAGAGAACCGTCATTGTTTCCGTTTCCCTCTCTCTGGCTGGCCCGTCTCGCTCGCCCACATCAGGATCGGCATTGTCCGGTAAACACGGCGCCCCGCCCTGCCCCGCCCCGCCCTGCCCCGCCCCGCCCCGCCCGGTAATGCTAATGCTCTCGTTTGTCACTCGCCGCTCTGCGCATCGCGCCTGCCGTGTTGCCTCCTCTTCAGCTGAAATGTCATATTTTTCCGCGGCTTTGCTCGTTCGCGGAATGACTCATGGGGCGCCTGTGGCGGGAACCGCGCGGACCTAAAGTACGTCGCTATGTCACTGACATCTTTTGTGTTGGTATTTTTTCTACCTTCCTTCTGTGGCTGCCTCTGGCCGGCCGGCCGGTCGAGGAGGCAAGAGGCCTCATGTCCTTTCCTAACGAGCTCAAATTATGCCTGAAAAAAGAGAAGACGCGGAAAGGGAGAAGAGGGGGGGGGGGGTCTGGTGTCGGGGAGGATGAAAGCCTCCGCGCTCCTCGTTGTCTCGGGTCAGCGTCGCGACTCGCACCATGATTACTGTTGTACCAAGAAGTTTCACGGGGAAGGATAGTTACAGTATTCTTAGGAGTGAGTTAGGATGTCAGAGGGGAAAAGAGTTATGGGTGGACACCTCCTGGGTGACTGGGGGACTGTCGGGTGACTGGGAGATGTCTCATCTTTTTGGCCTGTGCAGGTAGGGGATGCCTTGCTGCGCGGCGATACGACTTCTCCATAGGCGATCGCAGGGGCCGCGTGACAGGACCGGTGACCAGCGGCGTGCCGCTCCACACGTGCCACCCCTCGCCCCGCCCCTCCCCGCCCTACCTGCCGTCATAACAATTGCATCGGGCAGATGATGTTGGCCGCGAGGCCCCCCCTGCCGTCGTTGTTCACACAGCGCAAGTTACTTTCACATTTCTCTTGTAATACCGGGACCCTGCGGGCAATTCTTTTCTTCCCAGGCTTCTGCCGCGCGCGGGCCGCTGCCGCGGCGGCGGGTCCGGCCGGCCTAACAAAATGAGGCGCTGCCCGGGGTGCGGTGCGGGGCGGGGCGGGGCGGGGCGGCGGCCGAGGAGGGCCTCGTTACATCACCCCCGCGCCCCTCCGCGCGCCCCGCCGGTAACGAGAGCGACGCGCACTGCGCACACTTGAATGGCGGGCTTGATTTCTAGAGGGCGGGCGGGGTGACAGTGTGCTCCACGTCGCACTCTAGGAGGGCACAAAGGCTACGCGACTCGAGCACCGCGCAGCTTGATGGCTCCGATACAGCTCGGCGTGGTTATGGCGCGCGCCCCCCTGCTCGCGGGCAGCGGCGGGGCGGCGACACCGCGGGCGCCGCAGAGCCAGTGATGGCGGTGCTCAGAGTGGTGGTGCAGATCGCGGGTGACGAAGAGGCTCACTTTCTCCGCCATCCGAAATCAGAGGGCAGCCGGGCGGGGCGGGCGCGGATATTGTTGCTGGTGGGGGCCTTCTGCTCGGGGGTAATGGAGTGGAGCGGGATCATCTTCGATGTCTTCGGTCGTGCCGGGCGGGGCGCGCGAGCGCCGAGGTCACGTCCACGTCGAACTCATCGCCGAGCACCTAGCCGAGCACCTCGCCGAGCACCTCGCCGAGCACCTCGCCGAGCACCTCGCCGAGCACCTCGCCTCGCCGAGAGCGGTCCGATTCTGCGCGTCCTCTCGCTGCTTCGCGTCGTCATAAACTCTTTTGCGTGGGGAGTGCGCGCGCTCCTGCTTGGAGTCAAAGAGGTACCGCGTCCAGTGAGGGAAGCGGCTTCCGGCCGGACCGGATGCGCGAGCCGCTGGGGGAGACACGCCCCTCTGAGCACGAGCCCGGCCGGGGCCCGCGGGCCGGGGGGAGGAAGTCGTGGTCAACCATTTGGTAACGCCATGCAGCCCGCTCTAAGTCAGCTGTTGGCCGAGTTTTCTCGCTCCGACGCATCCGCGGCGACGACTTTTATAAAACCGCACGGATTACGAAGAATTTCCCTTCCCGCGAGATGCGCTGCTTTGAACTGTTGGGTTCGTTTTTTTCCCCCGCCGGGATGAAATCGCGGTCGTCTGGGGCTGCGGGGTTGGGCGGGGCATCGGCAGAGCGCCACGCCACCGCTGAACTATCAGCCCGTCTAGCCGAGCAGGCAGGCAGTCTCCTCATCCGATCACAGCAATTTGCTTGGCTCTTGCTTGGCTCCGCAGCCCTAATTTTTACTTGCAGCTCACTATAGGGAATGAGAAGCTACGTGTTCTGGTTTCAGACATATGGCCTTTCCCCCGGCCCCTCTCCCCATCGAATTCTCCATGAGCTCGAACCACTCACAGTAGAGATCCCCCTCTCAGATCGGTGTGTCCAGGCGTAGCGTATATAGAGGATATTCATCCTCTTGGAGAGATAATCTTAATTCGGTAGGAGGGCGTTGTAACGTTAAGGAGGAGCGGGAGGAGGGGAGGCGGCAGAGGCCCTCTTTGTGATGGCCGCGGGATACAGCGCACATGCTCTCTCTCTCTCTCCCTCACACACACACACACACACACACACACACACACACACACACACACACACACACGTGATATTCATACTTAAGCGCTCGGCCACGTGTTCGCTCGTTGCTCAGATTTATGGTTCGTCATCCTCCGTCATCTTCCAGAAAGGTCTGACGTGTGTGATACTCCGTGCAACACAAGCAGTCTGTGCCATGAGACGGGTTGGGGCTCGTGCAGCCCAAAAGGGCAGCAGCTCACCGTTGGCGCCAGTAGGGCGCCCTGGCGCGCCAGGCGAGCGGTGAAATAGAATAGTTTGCCCCATGCCGAACCCTTTCGCTAAGAAGGCCGGGACGCATCGTGTCCACGCCACGGCTGCCGCGTATCGAAATGCCAGTCCTCTTCTAACGCGGCCCTTAAACCCTTCCATGGCGCGCTCAGCTCTCGCCCCGAGCATATTTCTCATAAGCTCAGCCCGTTGTTACCACCAACTCTCTGAAACAGAGTTCCCCTTATTTCCCTCACTCAGTCTCCCCTACTGCCTGGGTGCCGTAAGGTCCACGCCGAAGGACCACTACTACAAAAACTGTGGCCGAACTCGTGTTCGCGCTCCTCGCCCCGGCATTTAAGTCTCCTCCTGCTCGCTGCTGCCGCACAAGTTATGCCTCTTCCTCCCTAGTCCGCTGCCTTAGTCCTTATAGACACGTCATATCGGTACGTATAGAGAAGAAAACAGAACTGAATAGAGTAGAAGAGGACATAAAAGAACAGAGCAAAACAGAACAGAGCTGCTTGTAATATTCGCTAATGATCGGTTCATTCGCCCATTGCGCTTGTTGCTGGCTCGAAACACAACAAAAACACTGTCGGGTTGAGCAATTAGCGGCGCTATCTATCGCGGCCGGGCTTTGCACGCCGAGCTCTGGCACTCGAGCGGGGTGTTGCACTGTGGCCGTACCGGCACCGACCTCTACGTGGCCACAATGTGGCCACAATGCAGCCCGCCGCGGTGGCTCCCGATTTCCTGGAGCACAGAGAGGCGCGCCGCCGCTCGGGGCTGGCACGCGGCGGCGGCCCGCAAAGTTACGGAATCCCTCCTGTGTTGGTTGGGAATCCGCGTGTCAGACTGACGCTCTGTATAAGGCTCACCTCGAGGCTCACACACGTTGAGGAAGGCCACGGCAAGGGGGCGAACATCACACGGCCACCTAACCTAAAAAGGAATTTCCGACAGGAAGCGCAAACAAAAGAAAATAGCGTGATACATTTCGAAAACAATAATTATGTCCTGTGGCCTGTGGGACTGGCATCGTGTCCGAAAGTCGCGGTCGCGCTTTTCGGCAACTCCGTGCGCGTGATGATTTCGATGTCTCTATTCTATCCAAGGGGCAGCTCTCTTCGCTCGTGAGTGTGTCGTGTATAGCTGCAATCTTCACAGTGCACGCCCGCCCACCCTCCTCCCCCCAGTTCGTGACCCCGTCGTCCCCCTACGAAGTGATGCAACTCGACACCGTATCGGCGCGGCTTCACGTGGAAACCATACACGACTTCAGGGAGCGCAAACCAGCGTCCTTCCGTGTCGAT